CTATTGTAGAAGTGTCATTAATCACATGCTGCAACAATGAGAGCATTCATACAATGCAATGATTACCAGATTTCTCAATCAAAATAAGCCTGTGTGTTACAGTGCCCTTACTACTACTGTTTTATCATTTCTTCTGCTTCCAATTAAATGCAAACCTTCAGCTTTTCACGCCACTTACATATCTAGTTATTCAACCTTCTTTGGCTCCAGCAGATTGGCAAAATATAGCATCTCTGAAAGGTTTAACAAGCACCTTTGAACAGAAGGCTGAGTACCTTAAAGTATTAAACAAAAGAACTATTGAAATGCTTTCAGATAACACAGTCTACAGTTTTCAGGCTATTAAAGAAGCTGAGGAGAGGCCAGAAATACTCGAATAACACTTTCAATACAGAGAGAGCGATTGTTTGCTGGCCTACATACCTGTGTGTGATTTATCATGCTTTATGACTGTTATTCAGCTTATTGTATAATGGGAATTCTATCTATATTAGACATGGGGGCTGCTTCCTAATGGCAAGTTCACCTTTATAATATTTTCTTCTGGCAATAGTTTTGCTGTGCATATGTTCTGTTCTCTTACAATTAAAGGAACAGTCCTCCCAAAAATAATATATTATTTTTTGGTAGATGTTGGAGAACTGAAGCCCAGCTAAAGTCTTGGAATAATGTATTCATTTATAAACCCATTGTACTAACAACCTCTACTTTCATATTTGTAGTTCCAGTTTCCAGTATAATGAGAGTAAGATATACAGACGCCGCATCAACCTCCCCAGTGTGAATGACAGTGTTGGCCTCAGCTGCTGCTCCAGCTATGCCCTGTGATGCATTTCGCCCCACCCCGCACAGTAGACCTCTGTGACCAAGCCCCAGTGGGCGGGGTGAAATGTGTCACTCTTACAGAGTTTCACCACACTGCCGGATAGAATCTGTTATCTGATTGACACTCCCCCTTTCTTCCCCTGCACTACAAGTATTTGGGGATCTACTAAAACTGCTGCACTCAGAATCCGGTGCAGCTGTACATAGTAGCCAATCAGCTTCTAACTTCAGCTTGTTCAATTAGGCTTTGAAAATAAAACCTGGAAGCTGATTGGTTTCTGTGCAGAGCTGCACCAGACTTTTCACCATGCAGTTTTAGTAAATAAACCCCTTTGTGCAAATGGCTTTGATAAGGGCTGTTATCTTGATTGCTTATGCAGAAACTCCTGGATGGCAAGGCAGGCCATACATTATACATTTGTTTTCGTTTAACCAGCGAGTTGAAAGAAAAAATGTGCCAATTTCCCCATCCACATTGAATGTGTGGATGGGGAAATTGGCACATATTTTTTCTTTCAACCTGCTGCGCTATAGCGTTCTGCCAATGGGGAGCCTTTTTTACAGGCACAATAAATGATCTGTGTTACCAGCTATAGCTGGTGGCACTGATCGAGCAAAAAAACCCAGTAGGCTGATGGTACAAAGTTGATTGAAAGATTGACTTCTGTACAACAAGCCTGTCCACAGATTGATCGAAATTTGGCCAGTCCCTGCTGAACCGACTGAATTTCCATCCATCTATGGCCAGCTTTACCCCCATAATCCAGCAATTAGCTTCCTTACATAGATTCACACAGGAAAGTTCTATTGTGAGTCCATTCAAGGTTTTTAGCTTAACTGAAGCCCTGATGAACAGGGACTTTTTTTCTGACCCCCAAAACAAATTAGCTGTTAGTAATTGTAGAATTACAAGACCATATCTGGTTTATTATAAATCCCAGTAAGGAAACAAACACGGCAAAGCAGATTTACTAAATGAGTTCATAATCTTCACTGAAGAAATGTGTGAATATTCACTGCAATTACCCAATTATCTACATAACAAATTCCTGTTCACTTTGAATACCCAATCCTGTGCAAATATTTTTTATCATGATTGGGTAATTGAAGTGAGCATTCACACACATGTTTGAGTATGGATTAATGTCTCCTGTTTGTACCAAGATTGATGTGAACCAGACATGACCTTGCAATTCTGCAATATTTTGAGCATAGACCATCAGCTTCTTTAATAAATTAGCGTTTATGCATCACACAATGGCTGATTTACTAAAGGAGTTGAAAATGGTCATGCCAAAAAAGATTTAAAATGTACTTCAATTATTATACATTTATGTGCTAATGAAAAAAATGGATTTTTATTTATTTTACATGGGTTGATAAATGAAGTGAATTTTCACTCTTTGGGTGACAATCTCAATTACTTTAGTAAATGAATAATATAGTCTTCTAATTTTTTACTTTATTCATCAATGTACAACCAATGGCTTAGGCACTGTAACATATTATTGTGCCAATATACTGTAATGCAGAACATATAAATAGTTTTGTTTTTCACCTTTTCTGTGTCTTTTCCTATCGCTCTGGTCTCTATGATTTTTCTTTGTTTTTTCTATAAATAAAAGGAAGCACAGTAAAATTTAATATTTAATGGGGTCTTGCAGAACTCAATTATGTTTTTCCTCCATAGGCCTGTTTTCCAGATAAAGATAGCTATTTGTTTTGCCTTTTCTTATTAGATGCCATATTTTATGTAGTGGTCACTGCTCTTATTTTCCTAGGTAGAGCTTCAGTTGAAGGATAGGGCAGTTCTTTGCCATTTTTGTATCATCTACTTCACATTTGAAATCCTCAGTGGGTTCTTCTATGGCATTCTGCTGGCCTCTTCCCTGCTCTTATTCATCGACTTGATGCTTACATTGAGTTATCTACATTGATTCCCCAATCTCTAACTGGGGCCATAGTAAATAAATGAGATCCCTTGAGTTTCCATATGTGCTGTTTTTCTCCTTGGTGTGCGCATTACTGTATATCTGTCTTGTGACATTGAAATCCATTTCTTTGCTGAGTTCTCTGTTAGTTACTGACGTTCTTACGATCTCTCCTATCTACCTGTGCATCATTTATTCAACCAAAGCCTCAAATTAGTCCCAAAGTTGATGGTGCTTCGCATTACATTTAAAGAGCAATTTCAGCTTTCAGAATGTTTTTAGGGAATAAATACAATATAAACAAATATAAATCACCCCTTTACCTCCTCCTGTGTCTAAATAACATTTACTGCTGGTTAAAATTATCTTTTCCACTACAAGGATTCAGATTCTGTCTTTACTTATTGCACTTCTGACCAGTGTTTTTTCTTTGTGATCAGTAAACTATCTGAGCATCCCTCTCTCTCTGTTCTTTTATATTTCATGGCACACTTCTGTGCACACTTAATGATTACTAAAAGAATATATTTTTTAAAATGCCAGATTTGCTACTTTCAAGCAAGGCAGAGGCTGCAGTGTAAAGGGAGTAACTATCGCCATATCAAACTATGTGGCTGCTATGAGATCCAGCAGCACTGGGACCCTGTCTGGTTACATAGAAGTACATCTAAGTGTATGGTTTGCCAGTTCATTTCTTGTCCTGGGAAAATAGCAAGGCTTTCCCATGGTTTCACCTATAGCAGCCACCATTCCCTTAAGGCAAATAGGCTTACTGGTACCAAAACACCCCTAGGACTTAGGGTATGTTGTGCTACATTTTCAGGACTGGGATGCACCCAAGCGACCCAGGAGAGAGATTATGTACCATGTCAGATGACTTTGAGATTGAGAGGTGAGGTTCAAGACAGGTGTCTAGTGAAAGGCTGGAAGTTAAGTCCAGTCTTTGTGTAGGCAGGCGTAAGGCCAGGTGATTGGCACTCAAGAGGGAAGGAACAACATACAAAGTTGCGAGATTTCGAATAAGTGTATTGTCAAGAATGATCCAATAACACTGTAACAGAGTCTATGTAGAAGTTTAAAACTGGCAGAAACACTCACAGATGCTTATGCAGCACTTGCAAAGAGTGATGCTTGAGGACCGACAGCACCTGGCACAGGAGTCAGTTAGCAGGTAGTATGTAACTAGGCACTAGAATCAAAAAGGTTCAACACATCAGTGATAGCAAGCAGTCCCTATGTTGTCCCTCCTCCTCTGGAACCCTTCCCTGCGCTAAGCTCACTCTCCCTATCCAACGGATTCCTCTCTATCTCTATCTTAACCACACGCAAAATGCGTGCCAACTGCAGTGAGCCAGTGCTTTTTGGAAGCACTGCCCTCACTAAAATTGGCCACAGAGGTCATCCAGGGTAGCAGCATCCAATTGGCCAGCTGCTCACTTGATGAAACGTATGGAGGTCTAAGTGGTGTGTGAGCTCCTCTTGTCCTTCTGCATGGTAGTTGTGGACAGCTCCATATGTGTAGGGAGATCAACCTACACCTGCCTACATTTGCAGTGGTCAGATGACACCATGCATACAGTACAGTATGTGATGGTATACAGAAAAAAATGCAGCTCAATGGACATGGTGTGGACAGGGATGATGAGGAAGATCTGGAATCTCTGGTGGGTAGATATTAGAAACCAGCAGGTGATAGACCTACCTGAGTCCTTCTATCTCTAACTGAAATCTCATTTGAGTGGACTGACACCTGAGCCTAGTTTATTTTCCAACATCTAAATAATGTTAATACTGCCTGATGTTCCATTAAGTGAGAGTAGACTAATGGGATCTTGGTCTCTAAGGAACATAAAGATTTTATCTGAGGACAATGATGATTAAATAGATTGGAAAGCCACAAAAGCATAACGGTTACTGTGTCAGGACCAGCGCAGTACATGTCACATATTGGAAACTGATCACATTAATTTGTCATATTGCCACACCACACAGAGCAAAGTGATAATATTAATAATACACTAATACCAAAAGCACACTGCAGGACTAATTTTATTGCATCAAAATTTTTAACTAATGCATGGTGTAATAAAAATGTCACAAGATTTATGTGTGTGGGAAATGATTAAAGCCTCAAATAAATGGTGCTGAGTACCAATGTGATAAATCTATACATTTTAGGTAAGACATGTATTTTTGGATCCATACGCTACATGATGACATCCATTATTTTCTTGTGATATTTAGATACGACGTCAAGGATGATTACACCTTACGGATTAAGAAGGCAGCCAGCATCGATGAAGGCACATACACGTGCATTTCTGAAAACCGGGTTGGTAAAATAGAAGCTGCCGCTACGCTCACAGTGAGAGGTAGGTGTTAATCTTTAGAGAGTACTTTCTGCTTTTTTATTGGGTGGTGGCCACACTAGAGGCTTTCACATAATTAGAAGACTTCTCAAAACATGTTAGTTGTACATCAATTATAATTTCCTCTCACTTCCTGTTTCCTCAGGACAGGAAGTGAAGGAAATATCTCCAATAGGACATGGACTAAAAAAAACCCTGATAGAGGTTGTAGCCATTCACTACTATTGAAAACGAAAAGAAAGTTTTAGCTAAATAGACACTTTAACACAGTCGATGTTCTTGATCAACCTAATTTATGTTTGCTTAATTTAAAGTGGCTTTCACAAGAAAAAAAATAAAGACTTCAAAAAACCCTCCAGACAAAACAATACTTACCAGCCCAATGGGAAATGCCTCAGATATTGGTTGTCTTAAAGAGCTCTTTCAGCTCAGGCATCTTCAACTTTCAACACGCTTCTGGGTTTATTGGATCATTGTGTCCCCTTCTGCAATTTGTCATTTCACCTTTGTTTGCTACATTGCTGCTGTGTTACTGCAAAGCTGTAGTGGCATGAAAGATGGCGAAGTAAGGGAGAGCACAGAACACAAAGGAGGTTTAGTAATCTGCAACTTCCAGAAATGCATTAGATGTTGACGATTCTTCATCCACCATAGCTCATCAAAAGCATGCAGACCAGTGGCACCAACTCCTGGACTAGTATGTATTATACTTCTTACAACTCTATGATAAGTAAGAGAAAGATGATTCTGTGATCGCTGAGACTTTGAAGAGAGAAGGTTTTACACCTCAATCACTGTTTGATTGCTGTACATCTTCTTCTTTTCACTAAGACAGAAAAAAAGCAAGGTTTGAGGACACAAACATCATTAAAAAGTCTAAAATGAAATGCAACCCTTTCACACGCAATAGAGAACAGGACTTTTTTGAAGTTGTAACCTTTGAACTTGTATGACCCAGAGTTTTTCCACCTGGCAAAGGGGCCCTCAAGTTTCTTTGGGTACCTCCCCTCCTTGCTATTACAAATTCTGTCACAACAACCATTAGTTTAAAGTTGAACTTCAGGGAAACAGCAAAATACACATATGAAATACATAAATGGGAGCTTTCCTGTCTAGCAAGGTAGGGGACCTGAGTTTTCTCTTCTTCAGTTCCGTAACATTTACAGGTCTCCATTTCACCCCACCTTGTAAATGGAAAGTGAAAATGCAGGAAACCGAAGAACTCATCTCATCTCTCTACCACTCTGCTCTCTCCTCCTATCAGCATACTCCTTGCACTGCTCAACTGACTAGCCATGTATGCTGCTTCTCCCTTCCCCAGTCTAAGCTCTGCTGTGTAGGGACCTTAAGAGGCCAAGGCAAAGTTAAACTCATTTACTTACACTGCTTAAATTAAAAAAATAAATTTTAGGGTGTATTAATTAAAACAGATTTGCATCCATTTGTGTCTTTATGTGTGCCTGGAGTTCATCTGTAAGGCCCCATTCACATATTGCATAGCAGCATTCCCACGATGTGATTTTAAAAGCACGATTGTCATTGTCACGTGATTCTGCATGTCGTGTAGGGAAAGTCCATCCATTTGAATAAGCTGCCTTATGCATATTTGTTGCCTGAAAAGAAGCTCACGCTCCTTTTTTTCAAAATGACATGTTTCATGCGATTTTTTAAGTTTTCTGTGATTGCCGGACAATCCTGTCATGCGACAATCACAGAAGAATTACATCACATTTGGGTGCCATGGAAGGGTAATAACACCCAAATGCGCATTTTGCAGTGATTGCCATGCGATTTATAATTGTGGGCAGCATCGCAGCGATTCTGCCTGAGATTCCAAATCACAAAATGTAAATAGGGCCTAAATGTTAAAAATAAACTGAATACATTTTGTTCACAATGTTTTTAAACAATTACTTTTAATTAGCTTTGCAAGTTTTCCTATGGTAAGGATTACTTTCTATTTTTAAAATGCTTTCAGGCATTTGTTTTGAAAACAGAAAACATGAAAATCTAAAACTGCTTGGGGTTTCGCACATCTTAGTTTTGAAATATTCTTTCTACTTTCAGTCTGGTATTGAAAAGAATAATTTTACTCCACTTGATGGGAACGCTATTTCACAGTTTAGTGGCGCATGTTCAGTGATTTCATGCGAGCTGTTATAAGGTTAATAAAAACATTTTTAGTATATGTTCTTGGATTTTACACCTCATACATCACATGAACATTCATGTGAATATTTTATTTTTAATGGAATCAGTGTTTTTTGATAGTATTAAAGTCTCTAAAATAGAAAAATGTGTTATTTTATTAGGATACAAAAACACAGACTAAATATAGTTGTGTGGCCAAGGCAGAAGTCAAGGTCATGGTCAAGGCTGTTGTCTAGGTATGAGCTTTGATAAAGATAGTACCATACAGCTACAGGAAGTAGAGATTGATAAAGCTAGAAAAGGTAATTACATGGCTTTAGTCATTAGGTTTAAATACTATCTTGCTGTTCTGGGTGTTCTGTAGGAGGTCAGGACTGTAGAAGTCTATGGAAAAATCTTTAACATGAGATTGATGTACAGGCTCATGAGTTCAGTAAGTTATTCTGATCGGGACATCCACAAAGAAAGAAGGAACAAAGTCACAAGGAGTGTAATTTTCATACTAAACTACTCCAGATTCCACTGAACTGCCACCAATCCTTACAAAATGTAGTTATACTTTAAAAATTATTTCCATAAGTGACAATATACCACTGGTATTTGAGATATAATAATACCTTACTACCACAACAATCCAGTTGGGGCAGGAAAACATAGACTCTTGAGTCTATGACTTAACAATAAAGCATAATTTTGCCCAAATATTGATGAGCGTAGGGCAGCCCATACATGAGTCAGTTTTTGTCATTCAACCAACTGATGTCAGATGTGTGTCTTTGCTGCTAATGATCCCAATGCTGGCAATGTTTTTAAATTGGCAAAGGCAGGATTGTCAAGAGGCTGCCTGTTTGTTCCTATGGAATCACCCCCTCTCTAGCTAAGGTATCAGGGTGTCTCTTCCATCCCTAGTGATCAAGATTCAGCAGCAATCATGCCAGTGACAAAGTGACATGTCACTGCTTCTGGCTATGAAAGGGAATAATTCCATTGGAACAGATAGGCAGCCTCTTTAGAGATCCTGCCATTGCTGATTTGTCTTTCGTCAACCTGAGTGAAGCTTTGGTGACCTATAAAAAATGTTACAATTTCATGTTTGTAAGCTACATAAATCAATTGTGACTATATAAACATCTATTCATGTTATTGATCTGTTATTTCAATTTTCAAAATATCAGATTGGTGTTTATAGTTGGAAAGGGAAGTATGGTCTAATATTCTGCGTTCTCTTGTCGGGACTTAGAAAAGGTAGTAGCTTGGGTTCTCCCTGTCCTTTCAGTTTGCATTGATAAAGATTGCAATAGGCATGGAGAAGCTGATCCATTTGTATTGTCTGTATTGGCATGGCCTTCCTTATCAGACAATATAAGTGCATCTCCTTTCAGGTGACAAAGAGGTACACAGCTTTGACCAACTGTGCTTTCCCCCAGTTTATTGCAGGAAAATGAAGGTTTCAGCTGGACATCCACCAGACTTGTGTTCCTGCCAAGGTTGCCTTGTGGGTGATCTGGCTCTGACGAGTTGCCCACTATGTATTCTATGTGCTTTAAACAGTGCAGATGTGTAAACTTTACCATTGATATTTCCATTTTTGATCATATTTTAACATCACAAGCAACCATTGGGTACTTTACATTCTGGGAAAATGGGACCAGGATCAAAAGATGGTCATCTAAGGCTTTAAATAACCTCTTGGATGGGAACCAACAAACAGAGACAAAACTATTAAGCTAGACTATTTAACTGGCATTCCAGATAACGGTAAGAACCCAGGGAAATATTCAAATCTTGATTTTTAACTCAAAACTCAATAAAGAAAAAGTGGTGCGTGTTCTTGGTCTTTATGGTGTTAGACCTGTTTATTATATTCATTAAATTTGAACTCTGGCCAGATATATTAAAAGCATCTATTTATCTCAGTTACATATTAAATAAAAATATTACATTTTTTAAATACAACTAGAATAAGTGAATGAATATAGCTTTTTCTGTAGCTCATTTTACAACAACAATCAGACTGGGAGAGGGACAGGCTACCCACTAAGACAATCGGGGCTCCATTTTGGCACAATGTTGTCGGAACATGGCATCAACATGGATGAGCACAGGGATAACGTCATTGATGTGCTGCTGCTCCTTCATCATTCAGTCAACAGGTGGGGAAGGATCCTGGACCAGGTTGTATTGCTTTACTACAGCATAGATTTGTGAAGCCTGGTTGTCTAGCCTGGCAGGGATGTCCAGATCACAAGATTTGCTGAACAGAATTAGCAAGCCAGTAAAACAGTTCCTGTATATGTATTTCATTTATTTAGTGGTATGCTCAGCTTTACTGGTCTATGAACTGGGTTGTTTATAATCACCAACAGATGAATAATTTCCCAAAGCTATTCTGACCTTCAGCTCAAAATATTTCTCTCTTTCTTTTTTTTTTAATTGGTTCCACGTTAAACAATAAATATGACCTGACATGTTTGTGTTACAAGCATTCATAATTTGATTTTGCATGCATAGGTGATTTTAATGCATAGTAGTCACTTTATTTAAGTGTAGTATTGCATGGCACACATTCTGACAGAATTTCTTTTAATTTCCTTTTTTTTATATTCTCTCACAACCATTGTAATATCTTCAGTTCGCCCTGTTGGTAAGTAACCATCCTTCTCTTTTGTTAGCATGGCTTTTTACAATGCTCCATCCTTCATTCACACCCTGCATGGCAGCAGTATCACTGAGAATAAATCCACCTATACACGTTCAGATCTTGCCTTATTCTCAAAGACAGGTGAAAAAGTCTTCCTTTTCTAAATTCAGGCCTGGTATTAAAATTCGTACTTGATGTGAACCACTAGAGC